GAGAGTGACCAAAAGAAACAGGAATTTCTGTGGTAAAGAATCTCCTTTTCCCCCTATGATCCAGTAATAACACTACTGGGCATTTACCCAAAAAATACAAAAACACTAATTTAAAAGGATACATGCACCCCTACATTTATTGCAGCATTATTTACAATAGCCAAAATAAAGAAGCAGCCCAAGTGTCCATCAACTGATGAATGAATAAGATGATATGGTATAGGGGCCCCTGGGTGGCTCAGTCAGTTAAGCACATCCAACTCTTGATTTTGGCTCAGGTTATGATTTCATCATCCTGGGATCCTGCCCGGCATCCAGCTTCCCACTCTTCGGGGAGTCTGCTTTGCACTCGCTTGCTCTCTGTCTCTCTCTCTCTAAAATAAAGAAATAAATCTTTAAAAGAGAAGACATGGCATATATATTCAATAGAATATTACTCAGTCATAAAAAGAATGAAATCTTACCATTTGCAACAACATGGATGGAGCTAGAGTATAATGCTAAGCAAAGTAAGTCAGAGAAAGACAAATACCATATGATCTCACTCGTATGTGGAATTTAAGAAACAAAACAAAATGGAATACTAGTCAGCCATCAAAAAAATGAAATCTTGCCATTTGCAACAACGTGGATGGAACTAGAGGGTATTATGCTGAGCGAAATAAGTCAATCAGAGAAAGACAATTATCATATGATCTCACTCATATGCGGAATTTAAGAAACAAAACAGAGGATCATAGGGGAAAAGAGGAAAAAATAAAACAAGATGAAACCAGAGAGGGAGACAAACCATAAGAGACTCTTAATCTTAGGAAACAAACTGAGGGTTGCTGGAGGGGAGGGAGCTGGGGAGGATGGGGTCACTGGGTGATGGACATTAAGGAGGGCATGTGATGTAATGAGCACTGGGTTTTACAGAAGACAGATGAATCACTGACCTCTACCTCTGAAACCAATAATACATTATATGTTAATTGAATTTAAATTTTTTTAAATGAAAAAAAAAAAAGGAGCAAAGGTTAAAAAAAAGAGAGGCAAACCAAGAAACAGACTCTTAACTACAGAGAACAAACTGATGGTTACCAGGAGGGAGGTGGAGGGGAGATGGGGGAAATAAGTGATGGGGATTAAAGAGTACACTCATCATGATGAAATAAAGTGATTTGAAAAGTAAATAAAATAAAATGAACTTAAAAAAACAACTCTCCTTTTCCACAAGTTCTTTAAAAAGAGAAGGGGACTAGGTTCTCATGTCTGGTATGAGTCCACTGTAGTCCTGTTAGGACCAAGGGATTAGGGAAAGGATCCTGCTGAGACTATGATGGCCCCAAGATCCCATCACCTGCATTCAATCTGCTGGCCATCAGCTCAGGCATTATTTCTTAAGATGTGCCTATGCCAAGGCTAACCCACCCATTCTGTAAGTTGTAGTTTATGAAGCTAGGGTTTCTTTTGTCACCCTTCTTAGGTATGAAATGTCTAGGGAAAGGATTCTGTTCTCCTCTATCCTCACCTGTCAGTAAAACTTTGGCACGAGTCATACTAAACACAAAGTTTAAAGGCTAATTTGGAAAACCAGGTAACAGGACGTGAAGGAAGCTAGAGAAAACCATTAAGACTGGGTTTCCCCTCCTTTGGGAAGTCCATTAGCCTTTATATAGAATCCTTAAAAGCTCTGTAAACGAAAGAATATGGATTTGTCCCAAAGTTATTCAGAAGTTGAATTTAAATTGAGCAATTTAACAAAATTCAGTTTTTAGACTTAACTTCTTTACACCCTGATAGGTGCAAAAGAATGTTACCTCCAATTTTTTCCTTTTTTTGGGAGGGAGAGGGTATAGGAGCATCCATGTGTTTATAATAGCATGTCTTAATACTGAGAGTATAAAAAGTAAAAGTACTTAAACAATTTCACTCAGAAAACTTAACAATTTGGTCTTCACATTGTCTATTTGGGTTAGATGCTATTAACTGCTAATGACTTCCTAGTCAGCAAATACTCCATTTGGCTCATTTAACACTTGACTCAGCTAACAAACAAAAAGCATGTGGCCCAAATTTCCTTTGGGTGCATCCTGCATAGTTGTGCCCAACAGTGACAGCAGCACGCAGTGTAATTGCTAAGCACCCAGAAGTACCTTGATGGCTTCTCCACTGGAGAGCAATTTGCTTTACAAAGTGAGCCTGTGACACTCATGGAAGAGATTCTAGTCCCTTGTGCAATCAGGCCATACAACATCTAAAGCAATCTACAAACAGCCCTATTTGTGTTTTTAAAGCAGTCTACTAACCCATTGGGTCTTATACCCCCAATCAGACTAGTGCGGTGTCTGTCACAGCAAAAGCCCATCTCTGAGGCTAGTAAGTCTTCTTAATTAAAAAAAGCTGAACCACAAATGGACTGCTCATTGATCACAGCTAAGCTTATTGGAATGTTCTTGTCATTCTGTCTTCTTTCGCACATAGATATATAAGAAGCAATATACCATACAGATATTTGAGAAGGAATAATAGCTGGCTCCCTATTATTCTAACATTCCAATTCTTAATTTAGGCAAATATGGTATCTCTGATTCCGGATAGTTGTTAGAAAAAGAGATTCTGATTATAATGAACTTTTCTTTACAGTGAATTTGTAAACAGTGTAATATTTTCCATGGGCTAAAAGTGTTTTGGATATCTAAAAAGAGTTATAGAAGTATGTCCAGTCTAATTGCCCTATCCCATCCACCTTTGCCTCTAAGAGCAACACAATGTTTTTCCCTATGGCAAGATGGGTAACCTAAAAAACAGGGCTCTATTTACAAGACAGTGAGAAAAATATTTGTAATCAGAACAATACTCAAAAATCTACAAGTTAAAACCCCCATATTATAAGAACCCAAGAGGAGAAGAGGCCGCATACATTGTATTATTCAAATGGCAGTGTATTCACATTAAAAGTATAGATAAGTACACATGTTTGGTATCAGGTAATGACACTAGATTCTGGTGGAAACCTTTCAGATTCATTTTAAATTTAATCCTGTTTCATGTTTAGAAATAAAGTAACACTGGAAGTTTATCTTCAAAATGTACAATGCAGAAGGAAGTCTACATAAAATAGGCCATGACAACTGTCATCACTTTATACTAAAAATGGTGGCCCAAATAGGGTAAATCCACCTTAGAAAATCAAGAAACTACTTTTTTAAAACTCAGGGACTTGTCTACCTGACCATAAGTCAAAATGTTACCCTATGAAATACAATATATAATGGCGGTTCTCTAACTTCAGGGAAGCTCAGGAACCACCTGGATGCTTGGAGAAAATTAGAGAAACTATGTGACCTGTCCCCAGAAATAGGCACACAAAACTTCAAATATAGTAAGAGGTTCATACATCTTCTGAAAGTAAAGAAATCCAAGCTAGATGGACGTTACCTGGTTACACAGTGACACACAAGTCAGGTGAAGTTCTAAGTTCTTCAATAAACATTTTGGGTTACTTTATACAAACTACCTTTAATGATGGACATAATTATATGAATTTCCCATTAGAATTAGTCAGCATCCATAAAAATCCTTGGAAATGTCAGGTTCAGCAAGAATAACTAAGTATCCCAAAATGCTCTTTTCCTAACTTAAAAAAGCTCTAGTCATCACCAAGACTAAAGTTCCTAACATACAAAGAGATGAAGAATCCTACGCATATGAGACATTCAAAATAGGGATGTTCTTAAATGCAAAAAGGCTTCCCACAGATTCTCATATCAGAAATGAAAATACTTTTTACAGTTAAATTAGGAATTTCTTAAATTTTAACATTAAATATCACATAATATAGCACGTATTTTACATGTTATCAGGGTACAAACAACATCTTGTGAAAACTGAAATAAACAAATCTTTAAGTTAGACTAACCAATTTACCTGAACTATTTTAGCGATCTCAATAGCTCAAGTTTATATAGCATTTGCTAACTGGATCTTGTAGACTCTCGTTAGGACTTTATCTAGCACTATGCTGTATTATTACTTCCCCATCAAAAATAAGCTAGATAGAAATTCAGGCTCTTCAGTATGTCTTAACAAGTAGTTTTATAATAAAACTTGACAAAAGTTCAAGTTACTAAATGTGTTAAGATTTTTTAAACTCTGAAGTAGATATGATATTACATAGTGGGGGAAAAAAACTCCCCCAAAGCCCCTGTCCAGGAAGAACAAGAAGGACATCAAGATGTTCTAAGCAATTTCCTGAACAGCAGGAAATGAAAGGCTGGAGATGCTGAGTGTCTGATCAGTTTACTTTTTTTGTCTAAATAGGCTTACTCATTATTAACTGATGAAAGATAACACACATGTGATATTAAAAACTAAAATGTAATGGTTCTACTGTCATGATTGTCAGTTAATACTCAAGTAGGAAAAAAGTTCATTTAGTTCCCTAGTTTTCTGAAGGGAAAAAAAATCTATCTCCTGGACCATTTCAGAACTGCATAGCTTTTATTTTACATTATTAACATCAATTGTAGAAGTTGCTTTCCCAAGTCAGACAATTATATCCTCCAAGACAACCCTATGCCCAAGTCCGTGCTGATGAAAATTTGTTTTCGGTTATAAAAGGTCATGTTTCTTTCTCATGTCCATAACTCATTCCAGTGATTGGGTTTTTTTTAAATTTTTTTATTGTTATGTTAATCCCCATACATTACATCATTAGTTTTAGATGTAGTGTTCCATGATTCATTGTTTGTGCATAACACCCAGTGCTCCATGCAGAACGTGCCCTCCTCAATACCCATCACCAGGCTAACCCATCCTCCCACCCCCCTCCCCTCTAGAACCCTCAGTTTGTTTTTCAGAGTCCATCATCTCTCATGGTTCGTCTACCCCTCCGATTCCAATGATTGTTTCAATCACATAAAAATAGAAAATGTGCTGGGGGCCATCTTGGATTTTTTTCTTCCAATGAAGAACTAGCAGACTATTTCTAAGTGTAATTTAACTGAAAGCACTACTTCAACTTCAAATTTATTTTAATGATATGTACAGGAGTTAACAAATTACAATTAAAACGGAATCAGTTATGTTAATTCCACATAACTTAAAATCATGCAACACTGCATGGTAAAAACAGCTTCATTCATATACAAAAAAGTATTACTTTGAGACTCGTGATAGTATATTGAAATTTTTGACATAAGCTTTTTGCAAAGAGCATTTTATAAAAATTTAAAGACCTGATTAATCAGTTAATGCATTATTAGGAAAGATAATAAACACATTATTAGTAAAGTGAGATTACAAGCAATTAATTTTAAAATTACACCAGGTACAGGGTTGAATGTAGTCCCATGAAATAAATGTTTGGTTAAGAAAATAGTTTTGAAAAAGATCTCATATTGAAGCTATGTATTACTTTTGTCAAATCAGGTTATATAAATCAATAGTCAAGTTTATTCAGTTAAAGAAAATATGCCTATCCTTTCTTATACTCATAAATAAGTACTTATATAGTTTTTATATACAAGTGAAGAAAACTTCAATGTAAAAAATATACTGCCAATCCACTTATTATGGTTGAAATAGCTCTTTTTATCTACACATTAAATTGCATTGATGAAATACCCAATTTAAATCACATTCAACCAGCATAAATATTTAAGCTGAGTATTGTTGTAAACAATAGAGAAAAACAAATTTTTTATCTCATCACTTGGGTAACACAATCTACTTCTCAGCTTAGCATGCTATAGAAAGGCCCAACATTTAATTTAATCAAATCCAAAACCCACTAAACTTAGAGTAAACAAAGTGAATGTTTTTCAAAGTGCATAATTTCCAACTCTTCCACTTGTAATATTTATCCAATTCCAGTTCATCAGCAAGAAAATAAAATGTACTTGGCTATAAAAATACTAAGGAATGTTATTGAAAAGGAAAGGCTATTTGGTAGAAGTAACTACAAAAATAATTAGTTTAAATCTTTGTAAAGCTTTAATGCAAGAACATCAGTACACTTTCTTTCCATAAACCTTAAAGCATGATCAATACCAAGATTTTAAATTTCCACCTTTCAAGTACTTGAAAAAGGTTGCAACAAAGTGTCTCTTCAAAAATTAAGCAAGAAGAATGATCATGCAGGTGTTAATCTGCTAACATTTGGGGACACTGATATCTGTGTTTGGTCGTCATCTCTGGCTCCACTGGTAGCAAGTACAGGCAAGGAGTCACTCTGAAATGTAGATGTAGGACAACTAGTCATGCCAACATTTTCATCTTCACCCGTGTCTGAATCTGGTGTTGTAACTTCACTGTCCTGAAGTCCCAGGATCTCACAAACTGCTTGTGGCAATTCCTGAATATGCAAAATTAAACACAAAACCATCCTTCACTATACAGGAAAAGTAATCACAAAATAACACTTCTACTTAAGACTACATTGATTCCAGAATCTGAACATTTACTCTAACAGTGTGATTGTTATGTATCTTCTCACACCTTCCTTCTCCACTCCAAATGAAATCCTAACCACTTTTTTCATAACCGGTTCCATGATCTTCTATTCTAAATTAGTCACTCTCCACCCCACCCTACCACTCCCACAAATGTTAAGTTTTCTTTCTTTCCTTTCTTTCTTCTTTTTCTTTCCTTCCTTCCTTCCCCCCTCCCCTCCCTCCCTTTCTTCTTTCCTTTCCTTCTTTTCTTTCTTTAAGATTTTATTTATTTATTTGACAGATAGACACAGTGAGAGAGGGAACACAAGCAGGGGGAGTGGGAGAGGGAGAAACAGGCTTCCCGCTAAGCAGGGAGCCCGATGCAGGGTTCAATCCCAGGACCCTGGGATCATGACCTGAGCCGAAGGCAGACGCTTAACTGTCTGAGCCACCCAGGCACCCCAAACATACGTTTTCTAATATTTAGCGTTTATTTCATTCTACCTGTTATTATAGAATCTTAGGTATTAAATGAGATCTTATTTACAGCATCTTTCTCCCTTAATGCACAAGGTTCCTTTAAGAAAGAAGTGTCTGACATATTTTGAACAGAATAGCTATCAAATAAATGTTTGTAGAAGTGAACCAAAATAAGTTTTTGGAACCATGAACAAATGACACAAAGACCAAATAGGAACTCTCATAAAATACATCAGAAGAATGATTTGGTTTGAATTCAGATCATAATACATCAAATTTGCCTTGTTTTTAGAAAGAACTAAGAGCCTGACTGATTCAGTTGTAAAGACACAGACTAAATACTATTCATTTAATTATTTCTGGTTAGCATCTGTATTTAACATAAGATCCTAGGCTCTATTCAGACTGGATAATACATCAATACTTAAATTCTACAGCCTTGTTAGTTGTTGCAGAGACGTTTTCATTATTTTTGCCATTTTGCTGTCCTACGTTTCTTATCTAGCGTAATTAATTGACTGTTTTCAATTAAGTGCTATAAAATCCATAATGGTAAACAAAATCCTAGCTAATGCTTGGTGCCTGCCTTCAACTTGCTAAAATTGCCATTTATCTTACTTCTACGAAGAAAAATTCTTTCTTGACCTCAACCCACCAAATGCATACAAATAAAAAATCTTACAATTATTTAAAACACTGTATACCTTGCATTTTACCATCTGTAGAGAAATTGCTTCTGCCTTGCATAGTACATCTTCCACATCAATTTTCATGGACAATTCATTGATATGCTAAAATGAATCCATAAAATAAAATGATAATTGAAACTAAAAGCACTATTATATTCTACTATATAAACAATTTATTACCAGTTATATTTCCCTGCAGATAAAATCCTTAAAAGTCTTCACATACTACAAGTAAGCAGGAAATTCAATATATCTTTCAGTTTTAAAGTTAAAGAATAATAAGCTTATGGAACATTAAATCCAGCATCTGTCCCAAGTCTACTATCTCAAAGTTATAAGCAAAAGGCAATTATTTTTTTAGAAAACTAAACTACATAAAAGAGCATTTGCTGAATTTCCTTTTCTTCCTAATTAGCCAGGTAAAAATAACTGGCCAGTATGTAGTCATTGAACTGTCATTCTCAGAGTCAGTTTAGTATTAAGTGTTATTGATACAATTTAAGTTTTATTCAAGGGACTCAATAAAGCTCCAAGGAAATGTTTTGTGTATTGGTACCACCAAACGAAGGAAAGAGCCAAAATATTAAAATCTAAATTAAAGGAATAACTACCTTTAGTATTTCATTAAAGCCATAATGCTTTTCCATTATTTGCTGCTTTTCTGATTCCAGAATAGCACAACAGAGAAGAAGATGGAAATTTTTACATGGCAGTTCAGTCCACATTACCTATAAAAAATAGAACTATTTAGAACTATATCAATTCTAAAATATTTTCCTCACAGAAACAATGCTGAACTCTGAATGACTTCTATGCAAAGCAGAAGTTGTCTAGATGGGGTAGACCACTGTTTTTCTAGTTAGGAAATGAGGAGTGGAGAAGTCTTACCTTTACCTACATAGTAACTAATATCAAGTTTAACATTATGTGAATATGATGAATTCCAAATGTGGCCCTTTAGGTAACTACAATAAGCAAATCACTGAGCCTAATTTATATGATAAATGATATTAATTAAGAAACTTACACCCATGAGTTTAAGGTATAAGGTTAGAGGCATTTTCAGTATTTTCCTGACCTTTCAGTTTCTCACTTTTAAATCACCTTCAATCTCTGGAGAAATTTAAAAAAAAAGCTAAATCGTGGATATAAAAGAAAAAAAAATTCAGTTAATAGTGCATGGGATCAAAACTACCCAGAGATAGCTCTACATTATATTACATAACACAGAGTATCCCTGATTGTGACAAAAACTGAATCAACTACCCAAAATTTGTATCCAAATGTATAAAACATCTGATCAATAGCTGCACTTCTTAAATAAAGTTAATGACCTCAAATAATAATGTACATAACAATATCTTATCTGGAAAGCGAAAAAGACCCACATAAACAATACTATTAAAGCACACCTGAAATGTTTTTACTTCTTTCATCAAGAGAAAATCAAATTGAATAATTTTCAGACTAAATCCAATTTTTAATTACAATGCAATTAAGCTCAAAATTTTCATTAGAAGTTCAATTTATTTGGTAAACAGATTGAGGATTATTCTAGCTATACAGTAATAATATTCTCAATTCATCCTTTAAAAAAGAAGTTGAGATACTTATTCAACCAAACTGATAAACTTTAAACTGTGATTCCATACAGAGAACAAAATGGTGGTTGTCAAAGGGAAATGGGAAGGTGGGCAAAACTGAAGGGGATTAAGAGGTACAAAATCCCAGTTATAAAATAAACAAGTCATGGGCATGTAAAATACAACACAGGGAATGTGGTCAATAGTATTGTCATAACTTTGTATGGTGATAGATGGTAACTACATGGAGAGCATTTCATGATGTATATAAATGCTGAAGCACTATGTTGTACATCAAACTAATAATACTATATGTCAACTATACTCCAATTTATAAATAAATAAATTCTTTTAAAAAAATACAATGTTGTCAGCAACATATTTAATGGAAAATCAGGATGTGATAATTATTGTGCTTTTTTGCTTAATTATTAAACCACTAAGATTAAATTTTATAATGACCCCCCCAAAATTAATTAATCACATTAAATGAAATAGAATTCCAGCTCAAGAACATATGAGTTTTACTTCTAATTTCAAACAGAAGAAATCATCCCACAGGAAGCAATGATCCTTCAATTAGCACATCACCTTCCCTAATGGTAGCATGGTCACCAGAAGTGTAGGAACCAATTTCCAGCTGTAAAAGCCTCAGAGGACACATGGGTTCCACTATATATGTCTATTTATTATCCAAATGGATTATTCCCCCCTTCCTTCCTTGGGAGAATTTCTGTAACCCCTTGCCTTTATAAAGATAAGGTAGCAATCAGCAATTACACCAACATTCTCTTTTAAAAGCATACTGATCTGTTAACAATTAACATATTTTAGAAGAAAACAGTAATTTTCTGCTTTAATCAAGTTACCCTGGGTCCAAAATGAATAAAAGGATATACATTCATGAATATCCTCTAGAGTTGGGGACAGGGAAATGGGACTTGGGGTGGAGATATATCTTTAATTCTTTTTCTTGGAAAAAAGAAAAACTAGAAGTAAATATGGCAAAATGTTTACATATGTTAAATATGGATGGTGGGATGTTTGTTTGTTTTTTTAATCCACAATTATGTTCCATCTCCTCAACCCCAAGTAATTAGCTAAGGTAATCAGGTCAGAGTCCAAGCTGACTACAAGTGATTAAATGTGGCCTTTCCTATCTTTGGTGTGCCCATTCTGAAAAATAATCATCTCTCACCTCTTCTTGGGAGTAATCTGGCAAAATCTATCAACAGACTTAAAAACTGACTAGTCTTTGATTCAGAGGTATCTAGAAATTTATTCTAAGGACATATTCAGAGGTATACATGAAAATTGGAATATTAAGATACTTGCCTTAGTGTTAAATATGATGTTCATTGCAACATTGTTGGTGCAAACAAGCAAAATATCAGAAACTAATTAAATGGTTATATATTCACAAGATGTTTGCTGTATTATTCTTAGTCTTTTTCTCTGCCTTAAAGTTCTTTAAAAAAGCAAAACACAAATCAGCTCCCTCCCAATACTTCAGACTACAAAGTGCCATCTCACCTGACTGTGTGTCAAAACTTCCTTGAACTCTATACAAATCTATACCAGAATGTGGAAGAACCTCACATAAAGTCAAGCCTCCCAAGGAAAGAAAACAATTATGAATCATCTAGAAAAGTGGTTCTAGGAAACCCAGTGGTCCCAAATCACATGAGGATTGAGATTTATAAAAAATGCTCCAAAGACCAAATATTCAAGATCATTAAGTAAAGACCATAAAACCATCAGAATTTCATAACATACATGCTTTAGAAATTTCAGTTAGGCTATTATAATCCATTTATACTCTACAGAATAAAGTGTTTCTTTCCATAATAAATATTACATTTGTATAACAATTTAAGAACTTACCTCCCATAATCGAAGAATATCTAGAAAACTAAATTCCCTTTTAAATCTAATTAAAAGCCATCTGAAGCAAAAATAAAGGTATCCAGAGTCCTGAGATTCTATACAAAATGGAAAAAAAAACACATATATATGGCTTACTCTTATGCTAATTATCTCAGAATACAGTAACCTATTTCAAACTCAAATTTTTCCATGCAGCTTAAGCTACTAGAAGTCCTAGAAATTTAATTGCCTTCTACTAATTCAAGGAAACAATTCAAATTTGTTTAAAAGAAAACCATAAAAAAACAACAAATAATTCATTTTATGAATAAACTGTCTTAAGGCATTATACAAAGAAAGTTTCGTCCCACACTTTTATTCCTCAAAGGAACTCAGGCAATAGTGATAAGGGTATATGTATCTTTAAGACAGTTCTTTCCATTTTTTCTCTCTGTATATATTACCCTACAATTTGTTGGGTATATAATTTTTTTTTTTTAAAGATTTTATTTATTTATTTGACAGAGAGAGACACAGCGAGAGAGGGAACACAAGCAGGGGGAGTGGGAGAGGGAGAAGCAGGCTTCCCGCTGAGCAGGGAGCCTGATGCGGGGCTCGATCCCAGGACCCTGGGATCATGACCTGAGCCGAAGGCAGACGCTCAACGACTGAGCCACCCAGGCGCCTCTGTTGGGTATATAATTTGATTCACTAAACTTACCTAAGTAACTGCAAAATCCACTATCCAACAATCGAAGTAAGGTACTTAGTTGAATTAGCTGGGTCTTCATACCTTGCATTTGTTCTTCAAAATTTTGATGCTTTAAAGGGAAATAAATGTCACCACATAAATAATACTTAATAAATATTTTACATTACAAAATCACTGATAACCAAACCATGAGTTTAAGGACAAATGCTGGACTTATACCACACTGGTTATATTCTTAAAAATCACAACAAATTAAATTAAAAAGCTAAAGCAACATTAAAAAGGAGGGAAAGAGAATCCTTGGTCTCAAACTAAGGATTATTTTTTTCCTCTATTCATTTCACTTAAGAATGCAGAGCTATAGACTGATACACTGATTTCTTACATGAAATAAGGAAGTTGGTGAAAGAAACACACATCTGGGCAATAAACTTTTACTAAATCACTTCCATTGTTAAATATTTCTTCAAATTGTCATATAAAATAAATTTTAGCTGTAACATATATCTTATTTTGAAGAACTAATTTTAATTATTTCTTAAATTTGATGACATTAGGGAATCTATGAAGTCAAAACCATTTTCATGACAATTCTAAAATACTATATGCATTTTGCACTTTAAATTCTCCCACAATGGTAAAGGCTGTATGAGGAGTGCTATCGCAGTAGACTGAATACAGGGGCAGATATGAAAATCCAGCTGTCTTCCATTAAACTAGACATCAAAGAAAATGGAAAATGGAAAACAATCCCTCTTCTCAGTAAATTGTTTCTGTTTTGGAAAAGTTACTTTTCATTAAAAGATAGTATTATGTATATTAAAGTATAAAAGGTTTATTGTTATTTTTAAATAACTAATAAATGTTCATACACTTCTCAGTATTAATTTTTCATATAGATAAACATCAAAAGATATAACCTACATAAACAAATGTTCTCAGAGTCCTCAATATCTAAGAGTGTGAAGGGGTCCTGAGATCACAAAGTATGACAAAAGCTATGGTTTATATAATTTTAAATACTCTGCAAAGTTGAGCAGACTCCCTACCAAAACTTTAGTCAAGGGTTGTGAGATGGGTGGGGAAACCAAAATAATGTAAAGTCTCCTTAGATCATTCCAATCCCTTTTATCCATGTGCCCCAACCCCTCTATGGTAACCTACTGTGCTAATGCTTATAAAAAGCCTAAAGACAACATCTCTTCCCTCAAACTTCTATTTAAGTTTTGGAGACAAAGCATCATTCTTGGTAAAAATAAAGTAAAATAACATTTTTAAAGCTACTGATTCTCAAATAACTGATTTCTTGGGGCGCCTGGGTGGCTTAGTCGATTAAGCATCTGACTCTTGATTTCGGCTCAGGTCATGGTCTCAGGGTCATGGGATCCAGCCCTGCACAGCGGGGCGTATGCTTGAGATTTGCTTTCCCTCTCCCTCTGCCCCTCCCCCTGCACACTCTCTCTCTAAAATAAATAAACAAATCTTTAAAAAAAACCTGATTTCTCCTTTATGCCTTAAAGAACTAGTTTACTAGACAGACACAAGCCTTTGGGATATTGTTTCTTCACATTTACCACATAGACCTGTAAGGGAAAGACAGAATCAACTCTTTGATTAACACCATCATTTTTATTATGACAGCCAAAGGTTAGAGTTGGTTTGGGAGTACCAACATGGCACGATCTGCTATAAAAAGAAGCACTCCCAAAATGACAGCTACTTTGGAAAAGTAGCTACTCTGGGAGAGGGGAAAATGAGATCAACAATGGATATACAAATGGCTTCAACTGTATTTGTAAAATAAATACATGTGTGCATACAAATACATACGTATGTGTGCATGTAACACATATATATGTATATAGAGAGATATATACATATATGTATATATCTATCTTAATATCTGTGTATATATACACATGCATATATATGTATATACACACACATATATAGGAGAGGGAGGTGAGGAGAAGGAAGGGAAGAACTAAATTACATGGTGAAATGAATAGTGGGTATAAGAAAGTTCAGTAGATCATTTTTCTAATCGTTCCATAATATTTCTGTAATAGACACATAGCCTATGCCTACACCTACATTAGATATGAGTAAATATAAAAAAAGTAAATCTATGGACATTAGATTCAGTCATCACAAAAGAAATAAAAACTTACATGAAATAGAGCTGTGAAACAAAAAGGAGTCAAATAGCAGTATAGATTAAAGGACACCAAGCCAATAGCAATGCAGTAAAAAATAATCATGCAGATTATTTTGATTGCAAAATATTGCCCTTTTATTCAAATCGAAAAAAAAATGTGAGTAGACAATATATTGAGATTTTTTTAGAATAAAGACTAGAAAAATCCCCAGACTGTCCTCAATGGAAAAGGCAAACACAGAGAACATTTACAATGAAAAAGAAGAAAGAATTTGAACCTTCATACACAAAAATGACAAACAGACTGTAAAGTGTATATTACAAATGTTCAGAAAAGTCTTTACATATGAGACCTAAATACATGCACAAGTATGTATGTACATATGCATGTAGGTGTACGTACATGGCATCATAAGCCAATTTTTTTAACATGCCAATACTGGCTCAATTTTATGAAAGTTATTATTGTAAAAATCTAAATGCAGTATGTTCATGTTAATTTTTTTGGAATACTTACTATAAGTAAAGGTCTAAACTAAGCACTGGGGAAATATTCATGTGTTTATTCTACAAAAATCTGTTGCACAAAAACCTCATGTTGGCATTAGGAAAATTCTGGAAGCACACCGGAAAACTAGTTAAACAAAGACATGACCTATCAAGGAACATACTAGCTCTAGTGAAAAGAGGATAAACAACAAAAACACAAGAAAGGCAGACAACAGTTTTTATACAATTAGTATCAGTTGTACAGACCTTTATAACAAATGCCTCAGGTTTCTAGAGCACTTGGGAATAATTGGAACTAAGAAGGCAGGTAAAATCAATCAATCAAAAGGTAAGGAAGACAAACTATGATATTAGCAGATTACTGCAATTAATAATCTTTCCAAATAATCTAAAACATTAATTCATGTTCATGACTATGTACTCTGAATACTTATTAACAGTAAAAGATATTTTTAAACTTATCAAATCTTATCAAATATGCATTTGGAAAAGAAGTAGGAGAAGTGAGGATGAGTTGGAACCATGGATATAAGAGACTTGAAGAAATAGATAAAAGTGGGAAAAACTAGGGGGGAAAAGAAAAATTGGCAAGCAAGAGGAGAAGAACAGAAGTATGGAAAAAAGAGAAGGGTACTTCTTCTAAACTCCACATTTATATCCCAGAAAATGAATTAAACCCTGTATTACAGGGAAACGTTGCATATGATTACATATTCAAAATCTTTATCCCCTTGCAGTGAATACCCAACATCAAAGTCCAGCATCAAGTATATTAGTTTTTCTCTGAAACAGTACAGTGACCTATGTATTCAGGTCTTTGGATTTCATATGCCTTTATCTACTCTTAGCCCTCTGCTGTTTTTTTCTTTCTAACAGATTACTTGAGAAGACTATTCTATTTTGTTCCTCTGTTAATACTCTGTGCTATTGTCCCAGAATTCTGTCTCCAAGCTATTATCAATAGATAAAATGTTCTTTGTAATAATATGTATATATAAACATAGTTCAACTCTAATAATCACATGCTACTGAGAAAATAACAATGAATTACTAAGAAAGTGTCACTGTTACAAATAGTTCAAACAGATTCAGAAGAAAAATCAGTTACTATAATGACAAAATCCAAAATGTTCACAAAAAGTAAGGATATTACTTGGCATGACTAAGCTTTATCTCCAAAGAAGATATGAAAGTTCAACTACTTCATAAGCACTGAATTCATCTATTCCATCAATATTCTATGACTCACAGCTCTTCTGCAGAACACAAGCATTTACTGATATTAAATCCTGATTATTCCTGTGCCACAGGCACTTACTATCTACATTTTGTATTAAAAATAATGTCCATATTTTCAAGCCCCTTGAAAAGGCTATTTAAAAAAGAAACAAACAAACAACATGGAGCAATTTTAAGTTCCACCATAATTGTCTAAATACAAACACCAATCTTATAAGATTATACAACTAAAATTTTCAAAATTAGTTTGATTAAAGGAAGGAGCCCCTGTTCTTACCATTTGGTCCATATAGGAGGCAAAGCACCAAAAGGCATCCACTTCATTTTCCATCACATATAAAAGAGGGGAAAGTAAGTCACTCATTCCCTGAACATACCCTAAGAATAGGAAAAAAAAAAAAAAAATCATGTCTCTGAAAACCTAAGCTTTATGTATCCGTCTGTGCATATCACCACGATTTCACTTAAAATTTCATCTTTTCTTTGCTTTCAGAAACTGGTAGATAATGACGTTTACCAAGAAAAGAAAATAAACGAGGAGGAAGTCTAGCAATCAGTAAGAAAAAGGAATTGTTTTAGACTGAAATGTCAAGCAGATAGACAGCTGCTATTATGTGTCTTAGCGTAGATATCATTACCAAGAGAGGGTAGTATTATTAAAAAATAACATGCAAAATTTTTATGATAAAGAGGAGGGATAAAAAGAAAACCCAGAGGAACATCAAAGGTAAGAGTATATACTCAAAGGACATTTGAGAAGGAGTAGTCAGAAGTAAGAAGGGGGGAAAAAAATCAAGGGAGAAAATTGTCATAAAAGTCAAGGGGAAAAAAATTTCAGGACCCAAACAGCCAACAGCACCTAACTGCCATGAACAAGCCAAATAAAATAAGAATGAAAAAGGGTCCAACTGCTTTAGCCACCAGATCATTGGTAATCTAAACCAAAAGAAGTCATAACAAAATTATGTACTTCTTTTAAGTACTCCTATCTATGTTCTTCTTGCCTCTCTTTTCTTGTTACTCTATGCACAACTAATGCTAGCAACTGGGTTTAATCCAATTAATACTCTTTAACTGAAAATACCACTCTAACCACCTTTCTCTTGATGCTGCTATAATTTCTCAGTCATGACAATTATAGCCTATGATTAAAAAGAAAAACCGGAAAATTAAAGAATCAGGCCCCTCACTTAAACAAAAAGTATTGTTTGCTTTCCACCTGAATATGTCAAGCTTCTTATTTTTTAGTTCCACCTTATGAAACTCAATTTTCTTAACTGTTTAACAATTGATTTCAGATTTAAGACCAACATTTTTGAATGAACAAAGGGGCAAAAGTTCAAACTATGCCTTCTTGCATACATATTATCATTCAACTTTGGTAACTTTTATACATGTGTTAAAGTTACATAGAAGTTTTTTTTTTTTTCCAAGGTAGCTTGAAGTCATGGAAAATACAGTCTTTCATGTGTAAGTCCAAAGCTTACATTCTTATCATTCACAAAAATCAATGTGCACTGAAGCCATTAAAAGAGTATATATTTTAAAGGGGAAGACGATATTTCTGCTAGAAATGATATGCCTCTGAAAACCACGATTCTACATCTCTCTTCCTATTTTGGAATAAAACTTTAACAAATGACCTCAGAAAGCATGTAGGCCAGTCTCTTGAGAAACCTCAGATTAGAGGTATAACACAGAGACAATTCAGATCACCTCAGGATCTCCCTACAAATAAAAGTTTCTCTCTATCTGTTCTGAGCCTCTGCCCCATTATCTACTGCTGTGTTCCTATCAACCTATGTCTACATGACACCCTGTGGAAAAGTATGGCTCTACTCACATTAACACGAAAGAACACTTGGGTTGCCATGGTGGGTATCCAATTATTACAGTACCAGGGATAACATTTGGAGACAAGTGCCAGAAAAAAATGGCATATGACATGATATCTAAATGTAATATTTCTACAAACAGACTTTTTTAAAAACCATGCACACTTGTGATGATTAGTTTTATTTGTCAACTTGAGTAGGCCTCAGGATGCTCAAAGCCTGATAAAGCATTATTTCTGTGAGTGGCCTGAAGGTGTTTCTAGAAGAGATTAGCATTTGAATTGATGAACTGATGAAAGTAGATGGCTCTCCCCAGACTGGGCACCACCCAGTCCATGGAGGGCTTGAACAGAATAAAAAGATGGAGGAAGGTTGAATGTGCTCTCTGCCTGGCTTTCTGAACCGAGACACTGATCTTCTTCTGCCTTTAGAGCTCATGGTTCTCATGCCTACAGACCTGAACTGGCATCTACACCACTGGCTCTCCTGCTCTCAGGCTTTCCTGGGTCTCCAACTTGGAGACAACAGATTGTGAGACTTCTCATTCTCAGTCTCCATAAACGCGTGAGCCAACACCTTAAAAGAATCTTTTTCTTTCTCTGTGTATCCATGTTAAAATATATAAAATATATATATATAAACAGAAATAAAAATATATAAACATACATAACCTTAATGGTTCTGTTCCCCTGGAGAACACTGACTAATAAAAAACACTTTTAAGAAAAGAATAGGGGCGCCTGGGTGGCTCAGTCAGTTAAGTGTCTGCCTTCAGCTCAGGTCATGATCTCAGGGTCCTAGGATGGAGCCCCACATTGGGCTCCCTGCTCAGCGGGGAGTCGGCTTCTCCCTCTCCCTCTGTGATCTGTCTCACTCTCTCTCTCTCTCAAATATATAAATAAAATCCTTAAAAAAAGAATAAATAGGTTGGAAGGAAGACTAAATTGTTACCAGCACTTTTCTACATGACACTGACACAGTGAAAGCAATGACAAATATAAAGCATGAAAGAAATTTGATCTGAATTCAACAAACTGCAAACGAGTACTACTTTACTGGGTCTGACTGCATATAATCTATAATAAAAATATTTCAAAGTGTGCTATTCAAAAGATTTACAAAGCACCTTTCGTCTGGAAAAAAAGTGCTTTATTATAAAGTTATAATGAATAAAAATTTCTAAGAAACTAATTTAATTATTTAAGTCTTCAGCTTTCACATAGGATCACTACCATATTTCTTATACAAGTCTTAGCTGAAGTAAGTCAAATTAATCTTCATACTCTAGTTGCTTTTAATCTTATTTTATACATGATGTTCTTTGGGGTATGTCATGAGTTGTGGGGGTGGAATTAATGTACAAATTCCTTTTAATTAAAGAAAGATTAAAGCTGTTTAAATTAGCATTCGGTGACACTAAGATCCTGCAGCAGTGCTGACTGATGCACATCTTAATCAGCACTACTACAATTTCTCAAGTAGTTCCCTAAAATTATTTTCATAGCAAGTTTGTTTCAGGGGGGAGGTATGAGAAATGAACTCCTTATCATCCTAGTGTACACTTTCTTCCACTGAAAAGAAAAATTTCACCTACATCTAGGTCAATTTCCAGGTTAACTGAAGCTTAGCCCTTAGAGTATCAAATAAAAAACAGTAATCTTAGGAGTTGGATATCATTTTTTTTTAAATTAGACACTCTCTGCCTTCTTACATACAGTATTTTGGGTATAATTTAATGTTTTATTGGTTATTTAGGATCATTATTATGTACATACACCACTTAAAAAGATTATCTCCCATAGAAACATCCTAAGTGTAAAGTCTTTGCACTAACTAAAAATTATTCTTCCTTGAGTTCTTCTTTCTGCTTTTGGTAATTTCTGTCTCCTTCCTCACTATTAATGAGATTGTATTCAATGTAAATATATCTATACCTCATCTATATGGGCTTTGAAGCCAAACAACTCAATATGATATAGAATTACCTACAAGAGTAAATTTACAGCCCAGGTTACTTTGCCATGATAAAAGACAAGAAATGTGGTGCACTGCTTTATGAAAACTACCTTGGCTCCTCACAAGGCCAGAGTTCAGGAACCTTGGCTTATGATTCAGATAACCTAAGTATTTGACTAGAAAGAATGAGGGATTAATATGGACAAATGAAGATAGCAATTTACCCAGTTAGTGGTCTGGGACTATGCCCTGAAAAAACTAGCATTTAGGAACTCCAAAAAATATGCATGAATTCCTATCTCAAAATTATCACCTGAGAGTACAAGACAATGCCTCTTGTTCCCTAAGACAATGGTCCTAGTCCCTGTAGTAAAATGGCAATGGGTCAGCGTGGCGGATGTGTAGAGGTAAAAATGCCAGCCTGAAATAAAGACCTGGGTCTCTACCCCAGTCCAATATTTACTACTTGTGCAACCTTGAGTCACTCTCTAAAACAATAAAACCTCACTCATAAAATTGGGATTATTTCCCCACTTCGTCAAAAGGCTGCTATTAGTAATGAGTCAAAATCAAGTATGACAGCGCTTTAACCTGTTTTCTTTTTCTTTTCTTTTTTTTTTTTTAAGATTTTATTTATTTATTTGACAGAGAAAGAGACAGCAAGAGAGGGAACACAAGCAGGGGGAGTGGGAGAGGGAGAAGCAGGCTTCCCGCAGGGCAGGGAGCCCAATGCGGGGCTCAATCCCAGGACCCTGGGACCATGACCGGAGCCGAAAGCAGACGCTTAATGACTGAGCCACCCAGATGCCCCTAACCTATTTTCAATGATCCAATTTGAGGTGTGATAGATAGGACTGGCTAAATTTTACATTTTAAAGAGAGATCTGTGGTTTTCAATTTACTGTCACCAAAGAGGCTGATGCCTCAAGATCCACAAAAGAGTTTATATCTTCCCCCTAACATACAAAAGAGGAGGAATTCACAAAGATACAAATGGTGAGGAAAATGTACCATAATTCAAGGTTCATTTAGGTTTAATATGCTAAATATCCAATTACCTTCTCCAAAAGCTGTCTCAAGCTCTATTAAAATAATCTGGAAAACACCTATTTCCATTATTCTCTACTTGGGAATCACTCACATGGTAGATAACTCAGAAACTTTTCCATTCCTTATACTTACTTAAAGGCTGATGCACAGAGAATTTCCTTTAAAGAAACAGCTTGAGTTCCCTTACCCCTTAAAATATTAATTCCTTATATTTTCTACCCCTTAAATCTTCATGCAATCCACTACTGCCCCTACCAGCCCGTCTTGCTATCCCATTTTGGTAGGAAACACACTTACCAAGAAAAAAGAGTAAAGTTCTACATGGCCTAGATAATATTTATCTGCATGGCTTGTCCAAGATATCATCATATCAGTATTTTCCTTCACAAGGGAGGAAAGCATTTAAAACAAAGTTTCCCAAACTTTCTCAGTTCAGACTCCATAATGTCTTAGTAATTTTTTCTAAGGCACCCCTAGGCTCAAAGAAATAAACTAACATTTCCATTTATTAAGTACTTAGATCCAAACAATTTAGCAACTATTTATGTCCTATGAACGTAGCACATGTTGGGCACTGCACTACTTCTCAAATTTTGGAATCCAACTGGATACCACCATCCTCATTTCCTGTCCCTCATCTATTTTCACACAGTACTTGCTTATCACGACAAAGCCAAAAGCCCTGCTTTGCAAAACTATAACTTCATCAGGAGGAATTTGGAGATCTAATGTTGAAACTCTGAACTACTTCAGCGAGGACTCAGAGCAGTATCCTTACAGATGTCACTATCTTTTCTCAAAAACTTAAAATATCCCACATTGCCCCACAAGTATGCTGTGGCAAGCCAGTGCTCTTCAGTGCACAATCGGGGAATCACAGCCTTCCAAGTTTCCAGTCCAACAGAACAATCCCTATAGAAACTAGCCCACAGAGCTGTTACGTATGCCTAACAGGTTAATAAATTTAAATTCTAAAATAAATATATATAAATCTTTTAAAATTAGCATATTAGAAGAGAACTTACCTAAGTCAAAATCATACATACAATAGGTCATCAAAATATCATGAAGCAAAATCAACCCTGGATTATCTTGGCCTTCATAAAACTTGTTTGTTCGATCTGTTCTGTTAACATCTTTTTCTGAGGAGGAAAATCATCATATATTTGAAAACTTTTCAAAAAAATTCATCAAATTCCATTTCAGATATGCAATAAAGTAAGATTTTAGAATATTTTTCAAAAATCAGTCCACTTCCTCATGGGTATATTTTCAAATATTTTTCAATTCTTATCTAAACATAGAAGTTTTTCAATAGTAGAAAACACTTTTAATTAATTTAAAGCAATGCCAATAATTCACATTAGTTAGCAATAAAAATGCTAGTCATGAATGCATGTGATAGGCAGTATTACTTGAAAATAGTAATAAAAAAAAGCTACTATACAATCAAGTGTAATCAAAGAGATTTGTTTCATTCACATTTGCTTCATTCATTATCAACTTCTTTGTCATGTCCACAGTCATCTTCGGGACAAATAACTTCCTTATTCTCATACATAAATTATTCAGTTTACATATTAGTATAAACAATTTATTTTAATTTTGAAAAAATGAAAACCCACATTGTGCTAGGAATGATTTCATGATATTAAAAACAGGTTTGGAAACATCACCATGAGTGTATCCCAAGTTGTACTGACAATTCAATTCACAAACACTAATACCTATTAAATGCAGCAATTTATTGTGGAAGGCTTTACAACTAAAAAGGTATTCCCCAAATGAATCCCTCAGTAAATGAGGAAGAAATAATTTAAAGAAACTCAAAAGTGTTTAATCTACTCTATAATCAATTCTGTTTAAAAGTTATAACTGACCTCTCCCCCCCACTTTAAAATGAATAAATTGAAAACATTCTCAATACAGGTACTCCTGCTTTTCAAAAGTTTGCATTACACCACTTTATCTTTACAAAAGACCTACACTAGAACCTGTTTTCATTAACCAAAAGAAATCCAAAGACTTTCACTTTTACAAAAAAACGACAAAAAGTGAAAAGAGCATTCCGGGTTTGTTTTGCACTGAACGGTTACAGAGCCAGCACTCGCCCTGGGCAGCTAAAGGTGCCCCACCATGCTCCTTCCCCAGGACCTACACTCACACTCCTTCCCCAGGACCTATACTCAACATCTCAGCATCAAGCCACCACAGCTTTGAACCGTGTCTGGGGCATCTGTGCTGTATTTTGATTGATTTTGTGTATCTGTTAGCAAAAAGCCTAAAAGAGGTTATTTTTTGAGTCTGGGAATGCTTAAAAAATCTTCCGTATAAGTTAATAGTAATTATTTCTTTGCTTTACACCATTCAGACTTACAAAAGGTCTCATAGGAACACTCTACTTTCAGATAGCAGGGTAAGCCTGTACTTGTTTAGAGATGGGGAGGTATTTTACAACAGAGAAGAATCTAACAATAGAAAATGACATGAGTTTAGATTCTGTAAGGGCATTTAAAAGAAAATATGAGAACAATACTATAGCTTTCTATTAAAATACACTATATTGGAGGAGCAAGATGGCGGAGGAGTAGGAGACCTAAATTTTGTCCGTCCCAGGAATTCAGCTAGGTAGGGATCAAACCATTCTGAACACCTACGAACTCAACA